TCTGTCACACATCTAACCCCTGTTATGTTGCTGCTGTGTGGAGCTGTCATAGTGGTCTTCACTATGCAGGGAGGGAAAAATCTGAACGAATCAAGGGGCCAGGGGTAGGTGGGGGCCCTCGAACATGCTACATCAGAAATGCATTTTCTAGGAGCAGCGTTTTAGACCATTTCCACAATCTGACCCTGAGAAAGCTCAGCGCAGAAAGCATTTTACTGTGGGCCAGCACTTCTAGCACTGACTCTACTGATAAATGTCACACAGTGGTCATTTTGAATAGTCAAGAGTGGGAAACCTAACCTGGAAAACTATGATAAAAAGAAACACCTAAAGGATAAGACAAAGCCTAAAGCAACCATGTGTTAGTCTGTCTCTCGTCTTTCCAACTTCTCTGCCCTGTTTCTTGCTCTCCAACCCCGGTAGTTCCTCCTGAACATGTAAATCTTTTTTTAAGGTCACAAATATATCATTTAATTTAGAGTAGCTTCCTTAAACAGGGCACTGCCATTTTTAGCAGTAGCTACTCAAACAGGGGGAAACGACACCTTTGTTCCGGACTACTTTCACCAGCTGATGAATCCACATTTGGTCTAGTGAGTATTTCTGGCAGCAGGTCAGTGTATGTGGGAGTCAAAACAAACTATGGTGTGTGTTCATGGTAGTGAAGGAACAGTGCAACAGTGTGGCTCACTGATGTGTTGTTAATAGTTTTTTGGACAACAGTGGAGCTCTATGGCACAATGGAAGGAGCGCTATCAAACTTCAGGCACACACAAAAAACTTGATAGCAGGATTACTGAATTGTTTTAGGCTTTACATGAGAATTATTGGGAGTAAGACAAAATAGAATATCACCAGCCTTATTGTTTAAATATAGATAAGAGTTGTCATGCATTACCGTTATGAGCTACACTAGAAATTGTGAGGACTGCTTAAATAAGCAAGGAGATTGGCTGGCTACACTAGTTTGTTTTAGGCTGGGCTGTGGCCAACTACCCATCTGCTGGTTTTAAACGGACAAAAATGACTCATGAGGCAATGTTTTTTTGTTTTCAGTTTAATTCATTGAAATACTTATCATTTACTTAATGTAAAACACAAACTCAGGAGTTAATCTTTAGGCAGCATTAATCTTCCATGTGGAGTTTCCCTTAACCTGATTGTTCAAAATGGCCGCAGCATTACCAGATGGTCAGAGAACAGGTTTGCAGTTTGTTTGCTCAGCAGAGTTGTATATATGTTTCTTAGCTAACTACATGGCCAGTTAGTAAAGTTACAGTAGTTAGTAATTTTTAATTGAATGCCACGGTTACAGTAATGTACTGAATTACCACTGAGTCAACCGATAGTTACCTTAGTGACCAGCCACTGTCCAATCAGAAGTCAGCATGGCAGTTGCAGCCCCTTGATTGTGGGGGAAGGTGTGAACCAATGTGTTTCCCCAGACTGAAGCTGATGATGATGATGATGATGATAATGAATGATGATGAAGTTGTCTTACATCTCTGTCAATGCCCCCTGTACTGTTTTCCAGTACCATCACCCCACCCCCTCCTCTCCAAACTGTACTGAAACTAACCTAAATTCAGTTCAAGCCTCTTCTTGCTGTCGACCTTCCAGGATGTGTATAATATTACTGCTATCTGAGAGTTAATATATGAGCGCTACGGGGGTGACAGAGACAGCCTGCTGTGTATTATCACTGTAGAAGATGATGTATGTTGTTGTCTTTTAGTGTTCAGAATAAACTTCAGTTGGACCAAGACTGCAACTGTCTGCTTTGTTGGTTTCTTACAGATCCACACTAATTTATTCCACAAGCACAGATAGTGCATTTTAACAAGCAGGATGTGCAGCTGTTCTGGTCAGGAATTAATCTCTCTCTCTCTTTCTGTATCTATCTATCCAAATCTAATTTTATCTATTGGGAATCTAATATATCTATCTATCTGATCTAATTATCTATCTAGGGCAGCTGATATGATAATTGGAATACATTTTAGACAGTTTTTCTCTTGATACAGTATCTATGTCTCTATCTTGTCAGCAAGATGATCTTATTAGACATAATGAGTTACAAATAGTGGCCAATGGATAATTTTTTATCACAGATTGACAAATGAAAGGTCAAACCACCACCCAGCGCTCAGCAGAGCCTTGTTGGTGCCGTGTCTCCTCTGTCAGAGGGAGCAAACATCCTCCTTCCACACCAGATTCCCTCATTGTGTCCACTATACAGTGCCATTCTCATGAGGCCATTCAGCGACCTAAGGCTGCAGCCATGAGTCAGTTCACTGGTAGAAAATTGAGCAGCAACTAAATAGAAGCAACAGTCATCAACATTTCTTGGTTCTGCCTTCATGAGTGAGAGGAGTTGATGCTTTTCAGATATGAGAATCAACTGAATCTCTGTAGGTCTGTTGGGTGGACACAACAAGAACTGTGAAGACACCACCTTTGGCTCTGGAGAGTCACCGTGGGACTTTTTCCCAGTGTTTGACATTCTGTGAATAAATACTTGTATCACAAAGCCTGCTTCACATTTCAATATGTGGTGACAAAAAATGTAAATATATAGCCAAATGTACAGCAACTTCTGTTTTCTCTCTAGAACCCAAATGGACCAGGACTCCAAATGAACTGTGAATGTTGCCTCCTGCTCTTTATGCTCTTCTCGACCTCTTCTCATCTCCTGTCCTTTTTGACTCCCCAACTCCTTCGTTACCTCATTTCAATATTTTATCCATGTGACAACAGAATAAAAGATACATAGAACCAATGCTTGTTTGGATGATGTGCTGACTGTTTGTACTGTGCAATAAAGATAGAATTTTCTTTTTTATTATAACAGCACTTCTACTTTCTGATCTTGAGAATGTGTGTTTAAGAGTGTGTGAGGTAAAGCATTGCATAGAGCAGTCAAGGCCTCAATGAACAGCAGGTGGAGCTCTCAGTTCAACATTTCTCTACTTACAGTGGGTACGGAAAGTATTCAGTCCCCTTAAATTTTTCACTCTTTGTTATATTGCAGCCATATGCTAAAATCATTTAAGTTCATTTTTTTTCCTCAATGTACACACAGCACCCCATATTGACAGAAAAACACAGAATTTGACATTTTTGCAGATTTATAAAAAAAAAAACTGAAATATCACATGGTCATAAGTATTCAGACCCTTTGCTGTGACACTCATATATTTAACTTAGGTGCTGTCCATTTCTTCTGATCATCCCTGAGATGGTTCTACACCTTCATTTGAGTCCAGCTGTGTTTGATTATACTGATTGGACGTGATTAGGAAAAGCCACACACCTGTCTATATAAGACCCTACAGCTCACACTGCATGTCAGAGCAAATGAGAATCATGAGGTCAAAGGAACTGCCTGAAGAGCTCACAGACAGAATTGTGGCAAGGCACAGATCTGGCCAAGGTTACAAAAAAAAATTCTGCTGCACTTAAGGTTCCTAAGAGCACAGTGGCCTCCATAATCCTTAAATGGAAGACGTTTGGGACGACCAGAACCCTGCCTGGAGCTGGCCGTCCGGCCAAACTGAGCTATCAGGGGAGAAGAGCCTTGGTGAGAGAGGTACAGAAGAACCCAAAGATGACTGTGGCTGAGCTCCAGAGATGCAGTCGGGAGATGGGAGAAAGTTGTAAAAAGTCAACCATCACTGCAGCCCTCCACCAGTCGGGGCTTTAGGGCAGAGTGCCCCGACGGAAGCCTCTCCTCAGTGCAAGACACATGAAAGCCCACATGGAGTTTGCTAAAAAACACCTGAAGGACTCCAAGATGGTGAGAAATAAGATTCTCTGGTCTGATGAGACCAAGAAAGAACTTTTTGGCCTTAATTCTAAGCGGTATGTGTGGAGAAAACCAGGCACTGCTCATCACCTGTCCAATACAGGCCCAACAGTGAAGCATGGTGGTGGCAGCATCATGCTATGGGGGTGTTTTTCAGTGCTCTTAGGAACCTTAAGTGCAGCAGAAATTTTTTTTTGTAACCTTGGCCAGATCTGTGCCTTGCCACAATTCTGTCTCTGAGCTCTTCAGGCAGTTCCTTTGACCTCATGATTCTCATTTGCTCTGACATGCACTGTGAGCTGTAGGGTCTTATGTAGACAGGTGTGTGGCTTTCCTAATCACATCCAATCAGTATAATCAAACACAGTTGGACTCAAATGAAGGTGTAGAACCATCTCAGGGATGATCAGATGAAATGGACAGAGCCTAAGTTAAATATATGAGTGTCACAGCAAAGGGTCTGAATACTTATGACCATGTGATATTTCAGTTTTTCTTTTTTAATAAATCTGCAAAAATGTCAAACATTCTGTGTTTTTTCTGTCAATATGGGGTGCTGTGTGTACATTAATGAGGAAAAAAATGAACTTAAATGATTTTAGCATATGGCTGCAATATAACAAAGAGTGAAAAATTTAAGGGGGTCTGAATACTTTCTGTACCCACTGTAGATCCGTTTATCTCTGTCTACCTCGATCATATCTCAGCTTCTCACTCTTATTTTTTTTCTGTAATTTCTCACTTTCCTGCATTTGTTCACCATATTAGTCCTTAGATGCACTGTCTCTCTCCATCAGTGCTATCTGTGTTGTGTGGTGACAGAGCCAGTCTTTGCCAAGTCAACTCCCCCCAGTCACGACTCTGTGATAGAGATGCCATGAGTCACATCCACATATGCACACACACAAAACACTGAGGGCAGCACCAGACTTCATTCTTAAAGCAGCAAAAATAATCCTATATTAGACTTTTACTTTGATAGGGGAAAGCCGCATCTGACCAATAAATTAATGTAATCGAAACAACAATTCGGCTATGTAAAACGACAGAATAGAATAAAATAGAACAATATAGAGCTGCTATTCAAATTAATTCAAATCCGGCTGTTGATGCGCTCACTGGCGCTGTGATGACGTCATTCTGTTTAGGCAGTCACACAGAGTGCCTGCGTAGAATAGCAGTGTACATGTGTTGTGCGTGCTCGTGTGTGTTGTCCTTCGCTGTTGGTGTAAATGCACGTGACCTCGGTTGTGTGGTCAGTTCGTGACACTTTAATGGGATTTGTCCGTTAGCTAAACGTTAACGACAACACCAAAGACCACTTTACCGGCCGCAGCTACACTGATTCCCATTGTTTGTGTGTGGCTGCACGCGCTTTCTGTCCATCACACGCTGCACATCACCCGTTACAACCACCACACGCGCTCACACACACCGCCATCCTGCGAGTTACACAGCTGGTTAGCTAGCAAGCTAACTACTACTCACAATCTGGCAGCGTTGTCATTTCGTTTTCGTATTGTTATGTGTAGACGTGAATATCGTTGAAACAAGGGACTATCTACATCTCTCCTCGGCTGACCGGGAGCCGCCATGGAATGCCGCGTTCTGTCCATACAGAGCCATGTAGTCCGGGGATATGTTGGCAACAAGAGTGCCTCTTTCCCATTACAGGTAAGGACATACACCCATTATCGGACAACGAGCGGCGAGACGCTCGTTATCGGACACAACCCTGACACGCTTGGGTCACTTTTGCCCAGACCACCTGACCGCAACTTTCCATCAAGACCAACCCGACTGACATAAATGCCGATTTTTGTAGTGATACATGCCAGTTACATTTTACAAAGTTTGTACATTCTTAGCTAACAATAGTCTGTGAGACACCGAAACCGTCGCTGGACTAGTTCATTTGTGGTTAGTTGCATCTTTCCTGCTGTGGAAGTGTAAACGACCATAAAAGAAGGTGTTTTTAGGCGGGTTGTAAAAAGCTTAAAATAACAGTATTAAGTTAATATAGCGTAGCTAGATGTCAAGCAATAAACGCGACAGTGGTTATTACCAGAATTCTATTTCCCGACACAATCAGTTCCACCCATTTCACCGAAAGCTGTAGAATATGGATAATATCACGGCCATTTCTTTTTGGTTGTATATTTAATAAACGTTGTTATTACATTTAGGCTATGAATGAATTTCTGAGGGGAAATTGTGGCACAACACCTGTCATTGAGCGTGTCCGATAATGGAGCAAAGTGATTCTTGTGAGGATTTATCATCCATCTCGAGAAAACATACATTAACTAACGATAAATGTCTGTTTGTAGAGCAACTTCTACGTTGTTAATGAGTAGTTTGTTTGCCAGAGGTGTTAGAGATATGTGTCATAATGGGCCTCCTGGTGTTAATCAAATGACCCCTACTTGGATGAACGACTGTTGCTGGGGGAAGCTTTTGACTAATAGGTCAGTGCAAGTCCTCAGGTGTACTGTCTGTAACGGTATACAGTTTCAAAAGATGGTTAATGATCATCTCAGGGGTCAGAGGCAAATTTGAGGTTTACTCAGGGTTAACCAGACACCACACCATCATTTGCTCACAGCAGCAGACAGCTGTGATGGTTACATTATCTTGTATGTGAACAGCTAAATGGACAAAAATCCAGCCTCTTGCATGTCAGCACTACAGGATGGACACTTAATCACAGCTGTTTGCCATTTTGAAATTCACGAACTAGCACATATTGGTGGTCAAGCTTGTCATAGATGTTTCTTCCTTGACTGCAAAAATAGCAGCTATGCTGGTTTCTGAAAGTTGATCATTTTGGCAGATTGTGCTTGGAATTCATAAGAATAATTGGTCATGTGCATGTTGTTGTTACGGCATTGGCACCCTAAAATAGTTTGCTGAAAGTGAATCCAGCTTCCTTGTTTCATTAATTGCAGTCATCGGCTTCTAAAACTACTGGAATTATGAATCTCTTACCGATCTGAATTTACTCATTGCAATTTTGCATGTAACAACAACCTGTGACGTTTTAAGCAGAAGGTCAACATTAATGCCAACGTTATTCTGTGTTCACTAGATGTAGTAAAACTGTATTAGGACACCTCAAACATCATTGTGTGGGTTATACAGTGCATTAGTAAGATGCAAGTGACCACAGCAAGCATTGATTTGCATTTTACACTATGTTAATGGATAATTTCAATAATCATTAAACTGACTGATTGCTCAAGGTGTTCACCACCAGCAGAATTCAGAAAATAGATGATGATTTTCAGTTTTTCCTTGTTAATCAGAGGCTTGTGAAGACGTGGGAGTGTAGCAGGCATCATTTGATTAACCTGAATAACACTGTGGGCTGTAAAGCACTTGTACAGCTTTTAAGTAGCTCAACATGTATCTTCTTCTTTAGCCTAATATTAGAAACTAATGGCTTTGGTGTTGAGTTATTACCTACATTAACAGTAGTAATAAAGGACTTCTCCAAAGGCTAAGTTTATAGTGTGTTTTACAAGAAGGCAGACCTACCAGAATGAGGAGCCAAAAAGACTAAATGCATTGAAAACACCAAAGCCAAAAAGACTAAATGCATTGAAAACAAGCCATTGATGTTATGTGAAAGGACACAGAGCTCCCTTTATGGTCCCTGATGTTGACAGCAGGATGATAACACTGATTGCTTTGCGTCTGTAATTGCCACATGTTGATGATGCTTTTGTTAACTAACTAATGCTTTAGTTTGTTATAGTTGAGTCTTTTCCACGAGCAGCAGTGTGGCAGTCATTAGTGAGGCTGAGGCCAGTATCGGCCTACGGTCCTATCATCCTCAAAGACTTGTGAAAAGTGCAGTGTCTATTTTTAGGCTGCAGGCCCAGGATGTATTCTCCTAATGGCTGCTGGGCTTCGATGCATGTCACCAGGGTCCAGTGCAGCCGCTCACTGTGTCTGATTAAGGCCTAAGTTGTATGTGTGAGTGATGTTAAAATAATATTTACCAGTGCAGCTCACTAAAGCTTACAGTAGCCACTAATAGTAACCAGCACCAAACCTGGACTGCTGTTGCTTACAAGGACGTTCAGTGCTATGTGTCAATGTTATGTAGGACTAATTGATGCATGTGACTTTTTAGAAACACCAGTACCATTTTCCCCATATACTTTAATATCAACATTCTTTTGTGTAGGGCTGCAACTAACTTTTATAATTTTCCGCAGACCAAAGGTTCAGTTTCCTATCACTTGTAAACACAGCAGCCTCTCACACTGTAGAAGCTAGAAACACCACACGCTTTGCATTTTTGCACAGAAAAGACTGAATTGATTAATAGGTTATCAGATAGTTGCTGTTGAATTTTCTGAAGCTCCACGTTGTCGTCGGTGGGAAATTAGGTGAAGCATCACTGCAGAAACCCCAGCGACAATAAACATTCATATCCAAGCTAAAGTGGTAGTGTTTTTAATAAAATATGGTTTTAATATATCATTATTGTCTAAAAATAAATACAAATAATTAGAAAATAGCGAAAAATGAAATGCATTTGTCAGAGCACACAATTTAAGAGGAAGTGGCCGATCTGCACACACTGTCAAATGTTGTGTGTTTAGCTTAAAAATGCACATAAATGAATAATCGGTTATCAAGAAGGTTGCTGATAAGTTGACAAAGCATTTCAGCTCTGATCTCTAATGATGATGTACAGTCAGAGCCAGAGAGTAGATGCTATGATAAATAGATGCTAGCTGGATCATTTTAACATACAGGATTGTACTATAAGTGTGTTTGGCTGGTTAGTGTTGCAGTCAGTTTGTGAATGAAGCACCGCTGATGCTTGTGGAAGAAAACCTGTCGGTGTGTTAAATTTAGACCTACAAACAGGAACCTCACAGGTCAGTGAAGGAGGTGCTCAGTTCTCAGAATAAGAACCAGGATTTAGTTGGTGTTGAGGATAAGGGATGAGGCGGTGATGTCGTCAGTGGCCGTGCAGGGCATCCCTCTTACTGCGTTGTCAGGACGGAGGATCTCAGGCCTGTCAGGGGACAGGAGACGGTGGTGGGAAGAAGCAGGGCTCTGATTGGCTGTCTCTAGATTCCTTCTGGTGATGTCACTGAAGATGGAGACAGGCTGCCTTAGAGCTGGACTGGATAGATTCAACATTCACATAGAAACACAATTCAAGACGATGCTGGCACAATGACAAGTAGGGGTTTAAGAATTTTTAGATATTAAGATTGAGCGAAATTGAAATGTGTGTAATCAGGCTGGGGTCGCATTAGAGCTGCAGTGATTCATCGATTAATCAGCTGCAACTATTTTGATGATTAAGTAATTGTTTGTCATTTTTGTAAGCAACAGTGCCAAACAGTGGATTTTCTGATTTTCTTTGTCCCGAATCATTGTGAATTGAATGTTTTGGGGTTTTGGCTGGACAAATCAAGGCATATGTGGAAGTGACCTTGGACTGTGGGAATCATAACAGACATTCTGCCTGGTTTGCTGTAATTTTAGAGATCAGTCATAAAACTTTCAACTGGCAGCTCACTCAGATACTGATGCTAATGTCCAACATGCCCTTTAGAGACACAGACAGTTGCTGATGTTAGCATTTAGCTTGAAGCAGAGAGCTGCTGAGAACGATGCAACACATATGTGAAGTTTTTTGGCTGGGCACTGTAGACATATGTTTAACAAGGTGCAAATTACCAGTGGAGGTACAGGAGCCAACCCACAGCTGAAGGACTCTGCCAGCGAAGTCACGATGCAGTAAATATAGCAATGTGTTGGCTCAGATGTGATCAGCCTGCACACTGACGCATGTTAATTAAAGAAACTTGTCATTGTTTGTTGTGAGAAGGGTTTCCTCGCATGGGAATGTACCAAAATTAAGTGTTACTTCAAAAGGCAAAATGTTGACTTTTTTTTTTTGAGATCTCCTCCTGAAGCTCTGATGATGGAGAGGAAGGAAGCTTTCCAGTCAGCAGTCGTTCTGTGGCTTGAGGCTTACTGGATGAATGGAGCAAGAATAGCTGAAAGACTCTACAGGATCACTTACCAATCACGTAGCAGATGTGTGCAAAAGTTTGGTATAATTCTACATTTTGTTGATTGTTGAAGTGGAAAGGTAATACAGGCAGACATGAAAAATGCTGTTAGTTTATGTGGTCCACCTGAACTAAACAAATGCAGGTTCATTGAAGAGTCTTGCAATACATCCTTTGTTGAATTTGTTTTAGATTCCTGGTGATTAATTTAAGGTGAGGCTGTGGTTTGTGCAGTTAACAGTCTCGTATTGAAGGTGTTTCAAACATTGTGTCCACCCTGTTCATATTGGTGTATAGTGACAAAATGTCCAGCTTCTTAAATGTGACAGTTAGCTACTTTTCTTTATTATACATGATGGTAAACTCTGTATCTTTGTGTTTAGGCGTGTTCATACAGTTGTTGTTTATTTAGGTTCTGCCTCTCCCTTGTGAAAAATAGAATCTTGTATCTCAAAGTTACAGGCATTTGAGAAGAACAAAGAAGTCATTCACTCCGCCTGCTTCCTGATTTAGTTAATTTAAATAAAGCCATTTAGATAACAATTGACTGTGCACGTGGAGGAGACATGTATGTCTCTCTCTCTGTCTCTCCCTCTCTGAGGTTGTTGAGAAGGACAAACTGAGGGGAGAACACCAGGAGTTGCTCTGTAACTGTTGTGGTTTGGTGCACATGTCAGCTGAAGCTAAACTGAGAGGATTTAGTTTTTATCTTCACATCACAGCTGGAGTAAAATAGAGCCACCACAAAGAAACACAGAGCGACTACAAGAGATTCAAAAGGACCTGCCACAAAGAGACATAAAACAACCGCAGAGATGCAAAATGTTGGACGCAAAACTACCAAAACAGAGACATAAAAGTATCACAAAGAGACACAATACTGTGTCACAAAACAACACACAGATACACAAGAAACCTTTCAGTAGCCCAGTGTCCAGTTACGTGCGAACCGCTGCATCTTGGCAGTTTAATGTACTGTAGCATTTACTGTTTGATTTCAGATTGTTGAAGCACAGAGCCTGACTGCCCAAATACTATCATCTTAATGTTTGGCTGTCGCTCTTAATCTTTCCTGACACCTAACCTGTTTTTTCTTTGTGTCTTCTGTTTCCAGGTCTTAGGGTTCGAGGTGGACTCCATCAACTCCGTCCAGTTCTCCAACCATACAGGTAACACTGATGAAATAGCATATTTCTTTGTGAGCATGCATGTGTGGGTGTGTGTGAGTCAGTCATTGCCTCTGGTGTCATGAGGAGGTGTTAGCGAGATGGTTGCTGCCGCAGCAGAGGCTGTGCTGAGGCTGACGAGTCCACAGATGAATGAGTCAGGGTTTTTAGGAGGTCAGTGACCTGACACCAGAGCAGCGCTGTGGGGCACAGACTCCATTCACATTTTCTCTGTCGGATGCTGCTGCATTTGTTTTGATAAAACCTGAAGTGCTGATGCCATTTTACTCTGTGCTCATTAATAATAACAATTAAAGGGACATTCCACCTACATGTCAAATTTGCTCAAAGAGGAGAGTGGACTTTGTTTACGTCTAATTTATTGCTGCTGATGTTGGAGTTGACCTGTGTGCTGTTCTTCACTGCAGGAATGTTTGGTGACTTCAGCAAAAACCACACCATGATGGTTTGTTGCTTTAACAGTTCAGTCCAAGTTGAATCAGTATAAGGTGTTCAGCTGCTTGAAGAGAAAGAGAGAGATTGTCTGTAGCCTTCCTGCGTGTCATATTTATCCCTAATATTTAGATCTAGCTGCCAGTCTCATGAATGAGCAATCTGCGGTCTTCCCCTGTCTCACACTGATGGGTGATCGCAGGTCACGTTATTCATGCAAACTAAACTTGAGGAATGAATCAGCAGAGCGCTGTAAAAACAAACATCTGCCTGTAGCTGTTGCTTCACAGTAGATGTTCAAAACTCAGTTTGTGACAGTTGGAATACCTCCTTGCAGCTGGTTGGTTACCTTGTCTGCTTAGTTGATGAGTCATTTAAAGCTCCTCTCCTGCTTTATATCTGTTGGCTGGTTAATAAGTGTAGTCAATGAGGCACTTGCCAGTTTCCTGTCACCATAAAGAGCAAATTGACTTGGATGAAATGCACTTTTCCCTGTTCGTAAATATTTTATAAAGGAAGAAAACGTTACTTCCAGCTGCAGAATAATTGTAACCTTTGGTTGTTGCAGGTGTGTTTGGCCCATTACAGGAGTCCCACCCTCTTCTAAACATGTAATTAGTTGCCAGTGGCTGCACTTTTTGGGAAACTAGTAAAACACTGTTATAGGCCTGTACAGATGTCTTTGTTTTTGTCCTTTTCCACTGTTGCATGGTACAGACTGATTATTTTGATTTTATGTAACCGACCCCTTAATTGTCAAACTAAAAAAAGCACAGAGGCTTTGCCTAGCAATCGTTACCCTTTGTTTCTGCATCATGGTTGCTTAAAGTTGGCTCAGGATTCTTTCTCAGGTCAGGTTTTTTTTATTTGCATGTCTCAGTGTTTCATTAGGTTTGGCTCCCACATGTCCTGTTACTACTTACAGAATGTCTTCAGTTAACAATGGTAGTTTTTCAGGAGGTTGACTGGCTGCATGAGGCTTATGTGACTTCATTTTGGAGTTTGTATGGAAATGGGAAATGACTTTATGAAGAAATGCCATCTTGGATAACACTGGACACAGTCCTGGTCAGTTAACCAAGTGTCTGTGATCTCCATGTAAAAACATGGGGTTGTGTTACAAACCACCATTGTTTGGCCGGTGCAGCATCTTTGCCGATAGCATTGGACTGTGTTGCAGTGAAAGCTGATATAAAATTATAGGGTTGTGTCTGTTTCTTGCAGTGCTCCTGTCTGTCTCAGACAGGATTCCCTTGAGTTCCCAGCTGAATCCAAGTTCAGTTTATATCTTTAAGACACCAGAACTACATGTAAGAGCAACTGTCCTAATCATCGGTTTCATGATTACTGTTATTAACGCATGTACAGAGTAAACAAACAGCTGAGGACAACGTCAAGAAAACGATGATCAATGGCAAAAACATCTTCATATCTATGGTGTAAACTGTGTTGGTTTGAGTGACCTGAGCATAATGATGCCTGAGCCTGTAGTGCTGGTTTAATCAGATCTTGTTTATTGGAAACTAGCATTAGCAATTTCTTCAAGGAGAGAGTGTAATTTGGTCTGACATATTGAAGAAGGCATTTGTATCTGAGAGGGAGCGAGTGGGACACACAAGGTTAATAGAGATGGAGTGAGACAGGACAGAAATGAAACGGTGACGAACAGAGAGGAGGGGGCGACGGTACGTAGCAGCAGCAGACGTCAGCAGCGAGTGATGACGACAGAAGCAGCTCTTATCCCCTCCGCTCTGACTGCTCATCTCTCTTTCTTAGCCCCTTTGGCTTTCGCCTGACTTGTTGCTTAGCAACCAGAATCCCCCACCACGTGACCTTGCTGTGACTCACCTGGAGCTGCGACATCATCAGCCTGCAGCAAACATGTCATGACGGACGTGCAACAGCGCATGCTTGCATTGGCATTTACGTCACATACCAGTACATGCAGTACCAAATACATGAATACCCAGATATACAAGTACTCACACTGTGTAGAAATACAGCCCATCACACATAATATAGGTGTGTTTGTTAGTAGGGAGGTTTTTGTCCTTGTCCTCACGCAGCCTCACCTCTGTCCCCGTCTGACCAGATACTGTGGCTGCAGGCTGCACTGAGACCGGCTGCTGCTCTGTGTGTGTGTGTGTGTGTTTCTTGAGAATCTCTTTGAATTCAGTTCATAAACCCTTTGTTTTCTTTGGTCTGAGCCGTACTGCAAAAACATTTCCTTCTTTTGTGCATAGCTCATTGAAGTTCAAGTTTGTATTTCTATAGCCCAGTATCACTAATTGGCTTTAAGAGGCTTTACAGTCAAATAGGAAATCTGCCCCCCCACCCCCCCCACCCCAACAGAGTAGAGAACCAAATGAAAACGTTTTGAGGCTTATAGAAAAGTTGTTAAAATGACACAGTGGTTGTAATGTGTGTGTGTCAGCATCTACAGTGTAGTGAGGATAATGGGCACATACAGTGTTTCTATTTTTAACAGTCAGCAGCTCAGTAAACACTATAAATCTCCTCTGTGCAGGTTATTCTCATTGGAAAGGCCAGGTGCTGACAGCAGATGAGCTCCATGTTCTTTATGAAGGAATCAAACTGAACAACGTGCATCACTATGACTACGTTTTAACAGGTGAATACCCTGTTTTTTGCCTTCCTACTCAAAAGTACAACATCAGCAACTGGACTACTATGGTTGTGCAGTTACATTAGTTTGTTGTTATTATGGTGAGATTCACAGATCATCCTGAGGTTCATTTTATTTTACTTATATTTCTCTGCTTCAGGATTTGTGTGCATATTTTGTCATGCCAAACCGGACAGCACAACCATAAAAGCATTTTTGTGTAACTAAACTTTGTATATAACAAAACTTGGCATTAAGCTGACTGCACTGAAGTGCATATCCCCTGCCTAATCAGCAAATATTACATTCTCATACACTGCTGATGAATCTAAGCACATCTGAGTGGCCTTTTGTCAGTAATGTTTGAGTTATGTGGCATACGGTTACCTGCACCACACCAGAGCTGCTTCACAGTTTAATGGTAAAACAAACAAAAGACTTACAAAGTTTTGAAAATAATGTCTATAATAATGTTTGTATCTGTCCATTATTTGGTGATGTATTCAGGGTATACCAGAGACACATCCTTCTTAGAGATGGTGGTGGACATTGTCCAGGAGCTAAAGAGAGCCAACCCCAGCCTGGTGTATGGTAAGTACTGAGCTCATAACCACATGGATTTAACTTATGTTAGAAATCATCTGTTTTCCAACAAAGATATGCCCAAGAAAAAATGCTGACTTTATGACGCCACTGCTATAAATGCTAGATGTTTAGAGAGCTTCGTGGTGCGTGACCTGTCAGTAACCAAAACTGTGGTGTTCGACCACCAACCAGCCGTCTTCACTTTTAAAGCTCTGTTCATTCATCTGGCTCTTTAGCTGCAAGGTGCTCCATTATGTTCACCGCTTGCTAATGCTGTTTGTGTGCTGTTGGGTTTGTCGAGCACGTAGCGTACAGTAGGTTTAGGGTGAAACATCATCCTGCTGCTGCTGGAAACAGGGTTGATGAGCAAGGACTTTGCTGTGAGCTAAAAACTGTAGAGCTGCTAGTAATTCTCTCACTTCCAGTGAGCTCTGTGGCATTGCACATAGTTATGTAATCTACTGTTAATGTCAAATATTCATTAGTGGAGCTTTAATATGAGTAAAATCGCACTGAGAAAGTGTCGCCCATGATGAAACGTGTAGACTTTCCATAGAAGAGTAAGTTTTTATTGTGGACAAGTCTCAGGACATTTTTTATTTTCTACTCTGGAGGATTTTCATCTCAAACAGTTTCACTCAAATCGAGGCTGTTGCAGCTTGGCCTATAGATACTGTGTTGTGTAGTGGATATAGTGAAGCATCCAGAGGGTTGACCTGCATAATGGGTTTGTGTTTATGTAAGTACTTGTGGACAAAAAGTGCTGTGTTGTAATATACTGTACTGCTTTGTGTCTGTAAGAGGTTGCCAGATATTTGTGGACATGCTCTCATATGGTTTTCTATTGGAGAGGGCAGTAGCATAGCATTGATGGAGGAAGAGAGTAAGAGTAAGAAGCTCAGAAGTCTGTGAACACGTCTGTGGTCATGTTACAGACCTGATTCATGCGCCGTAGCTGTGCCACTGGATACCAAATCCTTAGTCTTATTTACTTGATGTTTTTCATTAGGTCATTCTTAATTTAAACCAAGATTATTTAACATAGTGTGTAAAGACTACTGCTTTGGCACTGATATTGAAATATTTTTACTATGTCTAGCAGCTAGATTGACAGCCTTTATTGGCAAAAACTATTCTGAATACTTTCTGAAGCAACTGTACTGTGGTTAAAAAAATGAAATAATGCCGGCTTGAGTTCTTTGCTGCTTGAAAATCAAATCCAACGTCATGTTGTCCACTGTGGCCAGCTGTGCGAGAGCATACAGGAAGTACCTACAGCATCATGACCTAGAGTTACAATAGGGTCTCTCCAATACTGCACAGGATGTAATGACACTTAGATATAGATATATATATATATAGTGAACATTACAGCCTGGAGCAGGGCCTTTGCTTTTGTTAAGAGAATGTAGACTTTTAAACTGATTGTCTATGTGCAGACTTCAGTGTGTTGACACCTCCAAATCCAGTTTCATGCTTCCTGCCTGCAGTATTTATGTAATATGGTGATTGTTGGAGCTCAACAGGTTTGTGTTGGTCGTCTCACTCAGTGTGTTTTTGTCATTTCAGTATGTGACCCTGTCCTCGGTGATCATGGATCTATGGTGAGATTACTGGCAGCTTTATATGTCCTGTATGTGCAGTTTGTTACTGGGTAGATTTTTACCATGAGTTCATGTGGTTTTAATGTGTGTGGGAGGGTTCTAGTGTTTGTGTGTGTTGTCTATAATATGTGTCAGTGTTCTGGTAGTGTGTTACAGGGCTCATTTCTCAGTGACAGATGGGTTTTTTTATGATCTGACACAGCTACATAACACAGTGAGTCACTCAGGGATTAAGATCATCATCATCATTCTGTCTGTCAGAGCTCACAATTTAAAACCATGAAAACAGACATGAATGAAAAGTCCTGCATTTGTCAGGTGTGTGTAACCTTTGCTTTAGGCACCCGATGTGTGTTTTCATTGTGTTATGACTTTAACCTGTGTGTCTCATTTTACAGTACGTTCCTCAGAATCTTTATCCAGTCTATAAGAACAAGGTGGTCCCTGTTGCTGACATTATTACTCCTAACCAGTTTGAGGCTGAGTAAGTACAAGCATTTAACTTTTATTCACTTAAATCTAACATGATATTCCTTTGAATCCTTTACCCCTCAGTGAGTTTGTAACTGTGGGAATAGCTGAGCATTTGTGCAACACATCTTTATGTAATGGCACTCATGTTGTTATCTAATACCTCCATTGTGTGGTCACAGAGAATACACCTTAGCTCTGCCTCATGTCTCCCTTACTTTACCTTGTTTTAAAGATTTTTCTTCATGCTTTATTAGAATATCTTGTATGTAGAAATGGTTTAACACTGTAGAATAGCAAAGCTAACTAATGCTTTAATTAGGAGGAATCATGAACTGCACAGTTGTATTAAATGGAAATGTAGTATATGCACATTTCTCCAGCTTTATATATTTGGTGTGTTTGGAAATCTTGGGATGTTGTGTAACAATTTAAATAACGCGCCACCATGCTACCTACGTGAGTTTGTAAAGATGGACCTACTGGTGCACAAAGCAAGGTGAAACAAGTTGTTTTAAGTCTCCTTCTGATACTAGTATATGTTGTTAGATTTTGATGATCCCCATTGAGAAACAGGCAGACAAAAGGAGTTTTCCACATTTTTATGGCTTACATTGATAAATGGCTGCTAATATTAAGCCCCAGTTGTAGATCTGCGTGTCACCTCAGATCCAGCTTCATGTTGCTCCACCTAGTGGTGTTTCCATAGGCCTGCAGAATCAGAACAAAGGTTATTTCTATGTTTCAGTGTCTTGTCAGATATTGTGCTGCCTACGTGACATTTTTAAGACATGATGTGGAATTTCTATGTTTTGTTTAATGAAGTTTCAGTGCTGCTGACATAATGGCCATTTCTGTGCTTGTGTTTTAGATTATTGACAGGGAAAAACATTAGCACAGAGAAAGATGCTGTAGAGGTAAGAAACCAGCTACTATCTAATCCCTGGTGTGTTGCACTACATGATGATTTATTGCTTTATACTGACTCAGTACGTGCCCCGGTATCTCACCCTCTGTCTGTATGTAGGTAATGGATCTTCTCCATGCTATGGGCCCAGACACAGTGGTCATCACCTCCTCTGACCTGCCCCCCAGACTGGGAGACCGCTTCCTTGTGTGTTTGGGCAGCCAACGTCACGGTAGGTGATGTCTGGGGGGGGCTGTATGTTTGCAAGGTTGACATTTAACGTGTGTGTTCTGCTGTTCAGTTCGTCCAGATGGCAGCAGGACAACAGAGAGAGTTCGAATGGAAGTTCCCAAAGTGGATGCCGTTTTTGTAGGAACCGGAGATTTGTTTGCTGCTATGCTGCTAGCGTGGACACACCATTACCCTAATGACCTAAAGGTACAAACATATGCACAAAGCACAACTCCTCAGCCTAAAAGAACACACACGCTGAGCCATAGAGACAGAGTGCAATGCATCATACTCTGAAAGCCAGTTGATGAAGGGACAAGTTAGCTGTGTGTTAGTAAGCTACTGTAGTTAGCTAAAGCACCTGAAAACATGTTACTGCATAGCTTTGTGATTTATAACTAGTTGCATACTGTAAATAAAGCCTTTGGCTTAAAGCTGCATTAACTAACCTCTAATTTTCAACTATTAAGGGCAAAATGAGAGAATCCTGCTGGGGTGGAAGAAGTGCAGTATGAATTTTAACAACGGTGGTCACAGAGGGCAGGAAATAAACACGAGGCCTGAAGACAGAGTGGGGGAGGGGG